AAATATCCTTTGACCAATTTGACCAATACTAAACCCTTTGACCAACTGGTCAAATTGGTCAAACTGGTCTGGTCAAAAGCTTGACCATTAACCGGTCCATGTCAACTCTGATATATATATATTTTTTGGATACTAATTTATTTAATTAATAGACTAGACCATTTTTTGACCAGACCAGTTTGACCAATGAATTTTTGGTCGACCAGTAATTTGACCAACCCTGGAATGAATGTCTTTCTATGACGTTAATTATAGAAAAATTACTTTATTGCATCTACATAAACATTATGAAGATCATATCAAAATGGAAACTCTGTTCGAACGCGCGTCATATTTGTACAAAAGCCACGCGTTTGAAATTCTTCCTATGGCATCAAATGATAGACGTAATCATTACGAAAATTTCCACCTTTGTATATACCGTAAAATTCATGAAATGGCGGGCATGGGCGTTATTTTGAATTTTGGCCCGAATTAAGCTTAATTCGGCCAAAACTCGAAATAACGTCCATGCCCGCCATTTCGAGAATTTACGGTATGTATAATATTGTCCCACTCTTGTGGTATTGCTATATTTGATATAATTTATAATTTATAATTTATAACCCATTTATTTCTTTATATTGGTCTTTGGATTATTGAGCATTTATAAGAGTGTATAATTCTCTTTTAATTTTTGTCTTTCTAGCTTACTAAACGGTCGACTAAATCTTTGAAGTTATGCGAAGGTAAAGTTCACGGTTAATAAGATAGAATTAATGATGGGGGTATGAATTGTATTAATGATCCATAATGTACAATATGCTATATAATTAAGTTAGTAAAACTGATATGTAAATGGCGAGACTGATATCCGGGGGTCTTGGGACTTCTTGAGTCTTTTTTAAGCTCAATTCCGGCGATCTATTTATGCATAATTTAATTCAGATATTGAAACCGCGAAAATTTTTATTAACCGCTTAATCGCGTCGTTTAACTGTTAACCGTTTAATCGTTTAAATATCGATATGATGTATAACTATCGATCTAAAGTACCACTGGTAACAAAGTTTAGGAGAGTTTACTATCGCTATATAATTTACTCTTTTTCTTTCTTTAAAAAAAAATATCAGCTTAGTTCACAGACAAGATTATTTTACAGACGAATAATTCACAGTCAAATTCATTTCATAGAAGACGAGTTTTTTTTTTATAAAGTACACTAAACCTAATCCTGACGGCAATGACTCGAGTACTTCGTCTGTGAAATAACTGTCTATTCTGTAAATTAATTGTCTGTAAATAATTCCTGTGAACTAAATTGACTGTAAAGTGATTGTCTACGAAGTGAACGATATCTGATATCGCAAGTTACATACGCCGGCTAAATAACGTAATATGAAATTGATCGAAATAATAAGTTGTATATCTTGACTCGTTTACCGTATAACATAAATAAACGGTTAATCACAGTTAAATGAACAACGGTCTCAATCTCTTTCAATTCGGGACGCCAATCTTGAACATTCTATCGTAGAGTTAATCGTGAAGAATCTTCACAGCTAAGAGAAAATTTATGAAAATCCACATCACCGTTGACTGGTCATGATTATAATTGTTAGGAGAAACCTGGAGGTTTCGCGCTGACGAAATGCGAAACCTGGAAGTTTCGTGCTGACTGATAAATAGTGGAGAACTGACAAAGAATAATGAATCTGATGAAGCTAGCATCTAGAAAAATATGTACCAGGTTTATTCGACAATCATATGATGATCTAGCGTTAAGCGGTATGAAATAACTTTGTAGTTGTTTTAAACATTAAAACTTCAATAATTTATCAGATTTATTATTCAACTTTAACTGCAGGGCCCTTAAATACGTGTTATCACTTATTAAAATCTGGGACAGATTATGTCAACTTTCGATTTCTCGACTTGCATTTTCAAGTTTGTTCATAGCTGCTTCTCGTCAATTGTTTTATACATAGAAGCTACTTGAATTGCTGAACTGGAATTTTGTTAGCTAGGGTTGTAAGTTTACATAAAATTTTTAATTTTTTAATGTAAGTTATAAGCACGTAACTTACATGTAGGTAATGTAGGTATGTAAGTTAATTAATATATGTAATTATAATTTAAATAGGATCTTGTTAGGAAAATATCACTCTAGAACTATATATTTCATAAATAAGATTTAAATTTGCTAACTTTTCAATAATCTAATTTAAATAAGTTTTTATTTTATTTTATTTTATTTTATAGAGCTTACAAACGCATAATCCTAAAGGATCATTTTTTATTGTACAGTATCATACAGTATATACTATATATATATATTATATTAGTGTATATTGGTTCATTTATTGTATTATATATAATAACTTACATACCATACATCACAAAATTTTGGATGTAGCTTACATGTAGCTTACGTGTAAGGTAAATATGTAAATTACAACCTTACAACTAGGGTGGGTGGCGCAAGATAGATGGCGTCGCCAATAGTATTTCAAAATCGGGCGTGCCATGGCATGCCAAATTGGGCATGGCGCAAGGATGGCGAGCCAATCACAATAAAGCTTAGTTTCAATGCATTGGCTTAATTTTTTATGTACTATAATATTAAAAAAAAGTTCTAGAGTTATTATAATCGAGATAACATTGTATAATTTTCTGATTAGCAATAATATATCAAACAAATATACAATAAAATTATATAAGTTATGCAACTGCGTTCTCGATTATAACACTAAAATAAACAATAATCGATTGGTTAAAGCTAAATAAAGTGGCTGCGCAATATGTGTGCACCAAAATCAGGAACGGATGAACCAGTAAATTATATTTAATGTTCTGAAAATTTAAAATTATAATAGCTTAATATTGTAACCGTAAGTTATTATACATATTCGAAACTTTTATTTATTTATGCATATATTGTTGTTATTTTTGAATTGCTACGTTATAGCATATGTCATAATTAATTGCTTGAATGTTGTAAAAACTGTAAATTCTTACAGTAAACTATATTACAGTAATATGCATCGCTGTTATGCTGTTTTTATAATTCCGTATTGCAATATTGTTATAATGCTTATTAATTCTATTTATGTTAAATTGATAACTTTATTAAATAACTAAAGTATATGCACTAAAAATATTCAGATTTTTTCTGTAATTCGAGGCAAGCTAAATTGTTTTCAAAGAATTTGTGTTATATAAATGCTACAATTCAGTGCATTCATTTAACTCAAAATTATCAAAAATATTTGTTTACCATTGAGATATCAGTTTGCTATTCATCTACTTACAATAAATGCATCATCAAATAATGTTGATATCTCGAGAACATATAAATAAAATATCTTAATTAATCAAATATTAAAAATTATAAGTAGCTGTTTTATGTACGTACGTAAATAGAAAATGACCGAAAAAGTGTCTAAATTAGGCGATATTTCAAAACTTGATTAATCATACATACTGAAACATATCAGTCGTACATTGTAAAAGGCAGGGTCGTCCTTTCTAAAAAGGTAGTACAAATTCCCAGAATTCCTAGAATTCCTGGAATACGGGTAATTCAAAAAAAAGTAGAAAAAGTGATAATAGCGAGAATAATAAGAAAAGCTAGAAAAATTAGAAAGTTAGAATAGCTAGAATTCGCGTATGTTAAAAACTATTATAAAATGGAGACTTTTTCCAGAAATAAAACATAACTCGTGGAGTTCTAAAAGTAAAAGCCTTCGAAATTAGAGTAGAAGTGTTGTTTATAAGTAAAAATCCATTAAATTACATCATCCCCAAGTTGTTAAAATCGTTCGTCTTGTAAATCTTGTCTGATTATCGTATACTCTATAGAGTTTTGAACCAGAATAAGAAAGAGTATCGATTAATAAGCAGATCCTCTTATATGTAATTTTGCCCCTGATTAAAGTAGTGATTACCTCACTATATTAAAAAATCGGTACCTGTAACTAATCAGGATTGTAACCCGTGATTACATAACACTGTTGTGACCATCAGTTGGGAAAGCAATTGTGGTTGTTAATCCAATTTAGCTCCGATGGTTCACTTATATCGGGATTTATAATACTTGTATACGTGATATGATGTCACAAAACTCTTAAACTGAGTCGTGATTATCACTTAATAGATCAATCTTCAATTATTTGGGGGGGGGTAATTTATTATATAACAATAAAATAAGAAAATGCAAGATAACGATAACAAAATAAGATTATAATAATAAAACGATAAATCTAAATTACTAAACTAATACTCACATGCGAGAATTCGATTCTTAATATAAACTCGAAGACATTGAAGGTTCTTCTGAGACACTGTCTGAGAAAACTTCCCAAAGCCAAAAACTCAGGCTTTAAAACCTTTTACTTTATTAAGAGTTACTGTGCTATTTATATCTTACCCTTACCTTCGCAGTAATCAGTCTTCAGGTTGTGTTAAATAGTCACCAAATATTATTCACATGCGGCTTCATCTTTGCTAGCATTTTGCACGTCATTCTGCTTGCAATCTATCAGCCTCCTTCATCTATCGTATGATTTATACGATTACTTTATCTACTATTTATTGTATGTTTGGATAAACAAACAACCAGACTAGACCTATGCCACTAAGCCTCCCCTTGCTACCTAATATTCCTGTGGCTCTGGTCATTTGATCGTTTAGTACTACCAAGTTACCTCTAAGTCACAGGTTTAATTCTAAAACTGTGATACTGTGAACTAAGTTCACGATCGTAGTGGTATTACTAAGAAGAGCCAAATAGAGTTAGTAAAGTGACCTAAAACCAACATAAGGACTAAAGGGACAACTAAAGGATACTTATCTATAATGGCACTATTTCTATAACCTTCCCTAACCCTGATTACTTGGACCAAGTCTTCATTACTACATTAGGGTTGGGTTATTGTAGTTATAAGAGTGATAGTATTAGTGCATAATGAGTTATTCGATATCAACCCAGCGACTATTCTGACGCAGCTTGAACTTTTACAACATACAGAACACTTTTATACATAAATAGAAATGGCCAAAAAAGTGTAAATTAGACAATTTAGTAAATTTGGTATAATACAATACATGTGAAAGGGAATCAGTTATACAATGCCCCAGATTGCATAACACAATTACTCTATATATTTTATTTTCCTGCAAAAAGCCAGTACTAAGTATGAAGAATTCTGCAGAATTGACGAGATTCTATCAATAATAAATTGGCCAAATAGCCTTATTCTGCATTATTATCATGTTTGGATAAATTTATTATATTTGCATATGATACCCAGAGAATTTATTAAATTTTAATATGATAGAGTGAAACCTATGCAGTATTTAACTCTATAATATAATTGCTTCTATGCGGTTTCATACTTTTATATTTTAATTATTTATTCTCTTACAATAATATTAATTTGGGAGCTACCTGTATTAAGTTTTTTTCATTATTTAGATTGCTTTTCGATTTATTAATTTATTAAACAAATTGGTTGGTAAAATATTGTAAATAGTAGTTTAAATTGAAAGTTAATAATTTAGACTATTTTTGTCGTAAATCTTAATGCTAGGCTTTAGTCTGTTTCAGTGACTAATAACCTTTAATATCAGTAATATTTGTATTTTCAAAATACGTTTTATAATATTCTTAGCCTTACCTTTTTTTTAATTATCAAAACTATATAAAGCTACTTAACTCAGTTTCCATTTAATATTTTTAAATATAAATTATCAAAAAAAAATCCAATACTATAGATTCTGATGAAGATTTTACAACTTCGATTAATACTTTTAATACTATCATAGACTCTGATGATATTGTAACTTCATCAAGTGCTACGAGTGCGCAGGATGATTCAGAAGACGATAAATTTATAACTCCACCTAATAATTTTGGTACTCATTGGACAGGTTTTTTATGTTCAAAGCAAGTTAAAAATACTAAATCACGTCGATATAATGCCAAGTGTTCATATTGTAACAAGGTATTTGAAGCACGAAAAGAAGCAATGATAAGTTATATAACAAATATCTGTCAAAAAATATTAGCTGATGATAAAATACTTTATATACGAAAAATTAATAAAAAAAATCCTGAAAATATATCCAAGTCTTACCCAGATGAAGATATAGATATATCTTCAAAAAAACGTAAAGCTACCTTGACAGACTTTTTCAACAAGGCTTCAATTTCACCAGATAAAATTAATGAGCTTTATACTTTATTATTACAATCATTAATCTATAGTAATGTTCCATTTCGATTTGTTGAAAATCCATTTTCTGCTTTATTTTTAAAAAAATTATACTCAAGTTATAATTTACCTTCAAGATATATATTAACACATAGAATAATGCAAGCAGAATATGCAAGAGTATTATTAGAAATGGTTGACCGCCTTGAAGAATCTAATGATTTAACTCTTTCTCTTGATGGTTAGACCGATGTATCAGGAAATTCTATATATGCATTTCTTTTGCACAAATTTGAAAATGTTAATGAAGTTATTAATATTGAAGACTTTTCAATTATTTGACATATAGCAAATAATTTATTAATAGCTATTGAAACTTTATTAAAAAATATAAACTTAGATTTTAACAAAATTATTGCATTAGTTACAGATAGTCCTTCGGTTATGGTACGACTTCGAAAAAATATCTCAGAAAAATATAAGCATATAATCAGCATTCGATGTTGTTTACACGTCTTTAATCTTATTGCAAAAGGAATTTTATCATATGAGCCTTATAAAAACTTAATTAAAAAAAATTTAATGTTAGTAAATTTTTTTAAAGGTTCTACTTATTGGAATGCAAAATTAAAACAATGGGCTATAGATAATAATATTACACACAGCTTACAAACATTTTGTGAAACCTGATGGTTTTCTTTTTCTAAAGTTTGTCTTTCTGTTCAAAATTATGAAAAAGGCTTTAAAGCTTGTCTCGATTATATTAATAACTCTAATGAATGTCCCATTATTCCAATTAAGATTAAAGAAATAGTTACAAGTCGACGTCACTTTTTAGAGAATGAGCAATTAACAATAATTCTTAGATATATAGTCGATGCAATTGGAAAACTTGAATTACGTAATACAACAGTTGGTGATGTTTTTGCAGAATTATATAAAGTATATAAAAAGCTAAAAATGAGCGAAAATAGTGATATTGATCAAGAATTTATCGAGCATGCAAAAAATATTATTAATATTAGAGCAAAAGAATTTGATGAACCAATATACTATTTAAGCTTTTTTTTGCATCCAAAATTTCGTAAAATAGCTGTATCTAAAAAACTATCTCTTAATAATATGTTAATTTATGCTTTAACATTCGCTCAAAAATGGAACTTTACAAGAAAACAAGCTAACCAAATTTCAGAACAATTAAACAATTATTTTAATAATGAACCACCATATAATTCAGTTTTAACTTTAGAACCATGATTATATTGGAAGCGTCTTTCTTATAGAGCTGAAGCATTAAAAACTTTAGCACTAAAAATATTTGCAATTCATCCTCATGCTGCTGGAGTTGAACAGCTATTTTCATCCATGGGTTTAACAAAAACAAAATCTTGAAACCGACTAACTACTCCAACATTAAAAATAATTTCACAAATAAAATCTGCTTTAGCAGTAGAAGCTCCTAAAAAAGTTAAAAATAATCAAGTATCAAACAATACTAATGAAGATACAAATTTTGTAGAATTAGAAGACTATGATACATTATTTACCTCAAGTTCCGATACTAATGATGATATCGAATTGGAAAGTGAACTTCAAGAAATTTATACAGAATTTGAAAATTCATCAGATTTATTTTTAGAACAACTTGTTAATTTTGATGTCGAAGAGTTAATACTAGAATCAATTAACAAAGAAAATATAACTAAAGCTGAAATTACAAGTTAATGGACTCTAGAAGAAATTTTAAATAAACATAATATTTAATAAATATATATGGTATGTTATAATTTTTAATTTATATAAACATTATTATCTGGCAAACTTACACAGGTCGAAATAAGGCAAATTGGGTTCAAATCAGCATCACAATATCCTAATATGAACCCGATTTGAAACAGATATTTGGCGCAAATAAGATATCTACAGGATTCTTGTGGGTATCTTATTTGTGCCAAATATCTGTTTCAAATCAGGTTCATATTAGGATATTGTGATACTGATTTGAACCCGATTTGCTTTATTTCGACCTGTGTTATATGATCATGAAATTATCTCTTCTAATTATTTTTTCACATATTATAATGTAAATATGCTTATTCAAATTAAAATTCTCTCTATGAATCATGATCATAAATTGCTAGATAACACTAATACTATCGAATATAGTAATTTAGCACAGAGCAGCATATGTTCATTTGCTGAATTACTATTATTCATTGCCTAGCACAAGTTGAATAAAGGCAAATCGGGCATCACGTAATCCCAATGTAAACCTGATTTGAAACAGATATTTGGCAGAAATAGGAGACCTTTAAGATACAAATCTGGTTTATATAGGCAATCAATACATATCGGAATGCCGATAGCTCTATAGGTAAATTGATAAAGTTTGCCTTATAGCCTTTCGATTTATCTATAAAGCTATCACATTGATCGCCTATATAAACACAATTTGTATCTTAAAGGTCTCCTATTTCTGCCAAATATCTGTTTCAAATCAGGTTCATATCAGGATTACGTGATGCTAGTTGGGGCCTGATTTGCCTTCATTCAATGTGTAGTATTGTATAACTAATCAATATATATTATTTTTTATTAAATTATACATACTAATAATAATATTTAATACTATATATTTTAAATAGTTTAATCAATAAGATTTAAAGTTAGAATTTTATATTAAAGGTAAGTATTTAAATATAAAATAAAATAAGGTTTTAAAAGTGCTAAATATTTTTATTTAGAACACAAGATATTATTTATTTTAGTTTTAAGATATAGCGACTATAGAGTTAAATGCTATTGGTACAATTTATAAAACTATTATTTGTTATTTATTTTTTATTAATAAAAGTAAAAACTTAGTATTATAATTAATGATTGGATATAGAGATTGAAACCGTTTAACCATTTAAAAATTGCTCTGAGCAGAATTATGTTGGTCATGGGCCGGAATTATTTTAATACTGGCCAAATTAAACAGTTAAATAGTTAAACGATTATGAAAAATTTTAGGCGGTTCCAATCCCTAATTGGATATATCTAAAAATTTAACTTGTAATCTACAAGTTAAACCTGCAGATTATTTAAATAAATTGATAAATCAACTCAAGTAAAAACTTTTATCTAATTAGCTCAATTAATATTCTAAAAGATCTCAAATAAAAATATTTTATTTAGAGATTATACTTATTAAATATTAAATATTATAAATTTGATTCTAATTTACTTACTAATAGTTACTTTAAAGATATAATATTTTACTAATATTTATTTTATTATAATTTATATATAAATTATTATTTAAAGTTAAAATTTATTAATAATTATATAAATGGTGCACCACATGGCATGCCATGTACCAAAAAATATTAATGGCATGCCATTCAAAATTTTTTGCGCCACCCACCCTAGGTGCAACACTAACTAAAATTTTAAACGCATAAGAACATAACAAAAAAAATAAAAAAAAAGACAAATAATACTGTATATTGTACCATCAATATGTTGCTTATTTGCACTAGGTTTGCATGTTGAAGCATCTTGACAATAGCCTATATGACGATGACGTCCAAATTCTTTGCAATACTATAACACGTAATATATGATCGTTGATTAGAATAAATCATTAAAATAATAAAATAATTCACGCATAGTAAGAATAGTAAGAAGTAACTTACCAAATTACAAAGCACAAATGCTCCATGATCGCCTGCTCTCAGTTTATGGCTTTGTAAATAATAATCTTATTAATAACATTATAATTTGGTTAATTTATGCACACACATCAAAAGACATTATTATACTAATACCCGAATTCTTCCTCTTCTGAAGTAAATTTTGTCTGTCATATTTCCATGTTTAGTTTCATGTAGCGCTTGTGGGTGTCCATACGGTAAAATACACTAGAATAAAGATTATTAATTAGCTTGTTAATTAAAAGGAGTTGTGCATACGTATCACTTAAAGACCAAAATTATTTGAGTTGTTCTATTTGAAAAATTTTATGTGTATTGAATTTGATATTGTATTTTGATAGGTTAAAATTTTGATTGGCTAAAATTTTATAATTGAATTGGATTAAAAAAATAGAAATTAACAATGGCAGGAGGTCAAGTCACATGACTTGCTCGTTTTTTTCAATAATATATAATAATGTATAAAAACTAAATGCATTTTGAAAGCCGCTAAGTTGTAGTAAATTAATTTGCTATAATTTAGTGATCCATTTATGTATCTTTTTGTATTGTGAACTATTAGCTTTTGAAATTATTTTAGCCTTTAAGCATTATGCCTGTATTTAAAATATCTGAACTGTTACATACATAGTATTGACAAAATTGACCTATACAGGTTTATAATTAAAGATGAAACGAAAATTCAATAAATAAATTCGCAGTATATTGAGTCGTAAATTATATGTTCTTACATTTGACGTCACAAAAGTGAAACCCATTTTCTTCATGAGAATGCTTTCCCTCGTGATGAGGCATTAGGTGGAATTTTCTTGCAGCATTTAATCCTTTTACTTAATTGAATATACTGTGTAATAACGTCATGGTGATTAAATTTTATGTCAAAAATCATTCTAACATAATTTACATCATACCTTGGTAAATGTAAAAGAAGTTCCTTGCACTAAACCCTGATAAACTTCTTCTTGTTTTTTCGGTTCAGTTATAACTCTGCAAACTCCTAGTTCTTGACAATCTTCTTGGCATTGATGCTCATTACTTTTTTACAATATAACATAAGAAAATGATTTAGCAAAGATCTTAAACATATGCCAAAATAATTCTCACAAGTATATACCCGCAAAAATGAATCTGTTGTGGCTGCAAAGCATGAAAGTGGTCTGTACTTTGACAACGTCGTTGGCAATCTGGAATTAGACATTGAATTGGGCATGCAGAGTCATTTTCACAACAATGTTGTTCATGTTCATCTTCACAAGGAATAATGCATTTATTAGGGCATTTATAAAAACCCTTTTTAGTATTGGCTTGCAGAGAACAAGGTGCACCGCAACTATGACATTTTGATTGACATATATGTTCTTCATCTTCATGGCCTATTTCTTTTGCACATTTCTTTTGACAATTACGCTTGTCACTGAATTTACATTGTTTACCACATAGATGATTTGTCTATTTATAAGTTTATATGAATTATTTAGAGTGAAAATATTTTCAATCCGAATTTAATGACCAAAATTAAATAAAATTAGGGGGTTTTTTGATAATTACCGTATTACATGCGTGTTTTCCATCATGTCCTGCTTTGTGACTGCATCTTGGAAATAACCCATTCGAATGTGCATCAACGAATTCGCAAGTGGCATAACAATTATGATCTGTCAAACAGTCATGCGCATCTTCATGATGCCGATTTTTCAGACATTTTAAATTACACTCCTGGCAGGAAAGGCCACATAATGTCCAAAGCAGTGAAATTCGGTTGACTAACTGATCGAGTGCATATGCACCATCTTTAACATCACTATTATCAGGTGAAAACTTGCTGGTATTTTGTTGAAACCATTCTTGTACTCGATTAATTCGCCGCTGAATAATAAATTTAAAGAATTTTGATAATTTTTCAAACCATACGGCATCATTAGAACAATCTCTGCGATTTTGTACTTTGTCTTCAAAGTAAATTCTTAAATCAGCTGATAATGGTACGAAATCGGTGTTTTCATCTAAAAGACGAAGATCTGAATCTAAAATCAAATCACATTCATCTTTAATATCATCACAAATTTCAGTTAGATTTATAACTTGATCAGGAATTATTTCACCAGTATCACGATTCTGAATTTAATACGCAATTAATGTTATTTTCATTATCATAACAGCTTCAAATTTTTTTTAAAATTCAAAGTAGCATACCGTCAGATGTTCTACTGTATTAGTTTTTTCCTCGATACCAAGACATATTGCAATATCAAGCAATCTTTTCAATGTATATACACGTATTTGTACCAAATTCTCATCTAAAGAACCCAATCACAAATCTATAAAATTTAAGGGGTTTTGAATTTGTAATCTAATATTAGAAGATTACCAAATTATGTTTAATTGAACACAGAATACTTACCTTTAATTTAGCCATAAATACTTTTGTATTTTGCAAAAATGTTCGCGCATTCGCATATTTTGCATCTTGTTTATCTAACATCTTTTTGATATCTCTTAAACTCTTAAACCACTCAGGATTGTTAAACATTGGCCAAGGATTTATATTTAAACCACCCGGATACATTTTTGTTATAAAGTTATTTTCTCCTTCCTATAAAATATTTAATAA